AGGACATGAGAGGGTTGTGGCCAGAGGTGCTTGACAAGAGAAGGGAAGAGGACCTTCCGGGTCAGAGAGTGGGGTGCCCTGAGGGAAGAGGCTCCCAGGATGAACTGGGCAGAATTGTGGGGGGGCTCCCCACCTAGCTGACCCTAGTGTGGGTGCCTCCAGGGGCGTGTGGAACGTGCCCTACATATCCCAGGCATATGTGATCCGTGGGGAGACCCTGAGGACAGAGCTGCCCCAGAAGGAGGTGTTCTCTAGCAGCGACACTGACCCGGACATGGCCTTCTGTAAGAGCCTGCGGGACCAGGTGAGCGGGGCAGTTGTCCGGGGTGTGGGGCCTGGGGGCCTGATGCTGGGAGGCAGCCACTTCGTGTCTCCGTCTCACACCCTCCCCCCACTCCAGGGCATCTTCCTCCACCTCAGCAATCGGCACGAATTTGGCCGCCTCCTGGCCACTTCCCGGTACGACACAGACCACCTGCACCCCGACCTCTGGCAGATCTTTGACAACCCCCTGGTGAGTAGGGGCACCCTCGCTCAGAGGATGCATGTGCCCCGCCCTTCACTAAAGGAGGACATGCGCTCACACTCACACGCACACTCGCTTCCCCGTGTGCGGATCTGCTCCTGCCTGAGGAGGGGGATGTCCGGGGATGGGGCTTCCTGGGTGGGACCAGAAGGAGCGAGGAGGGCGTCATCACCCTGCGCTCCCCTTACCCTCCCCAGGACTGGAAGGAGCAGTACATTCACGAGAACTACAGCCGGGCCCTGGAAGGGAAGGGACTCGTGGAACAGGTGAGCCCCGCGCCGGACCCCTGCCCACCCGATGGCCATTGCCCTTGAGTCCACTGCCCAGATCAGTGGATTTCAAACCGACTTCCCCTGGGTGCCTTAGGGTTTTCTGCTCAGGCGAGGTGAGGCAAAGGCTGAGCAGCCAGGCCTTCCGGCCTCACCCCGGCGTTGATCAGTGATCCTTTCTCAGCTGTTGGGTATATCCATGTTACAGGCAAAATGACATTTTTGTAAAGAAGTTTGAGCACCACTGTCCCAGAACCTGGGGCTCCAGGACCCTCCTGTCATTTGTGCCCTCAGCGCCACTCCCAGCTTGTGTGGCCCCGCCTCCCCTGGCCCAGTCCCCGCTCAGATCCCCATGCCCCCAGCTTCTCTCATCTCCTGGCTTCCCTTTCTGCTCCCTGCTTTCCCCCTGCTGCGCTCTTCCTCAAGCGCCACCCAGCCCTATTGATCTTCCCCCGCCCTGTCCTCAGCCGTGCCCGGACGTGTACTGGTTCCCTCTGCTGTCAGACCAGATGTGCGATGAGCTGGTGGAGGAGATGGAGCATTATGGCCAGTGGTCAGGAGGCCGGCATGAGGTGAGAGGGTGGGCGCGGGGAGGAGGGAGGGCCCCCAGAGGAGGGTGGGGCTGGGTCTGATGGAAGGAAATACAGTCAGGAGACTGGAAGCAGACAGGCATCCCCAAGGGGGAGGGGCCCACAGGGGGCACAACTGTATTCATTCATTCATTCATTCATTCAAGAAGTACTTACTGGGCAGTTCCCAGATGCCACCCACTGACCTAGGGGGTGCAGGCGTACTGAGGACATGTGCAGCTGAGCTCTGCTCACCTGCTGCTGTCAGTAGCAGCAGCCCAGCTTCTAGGGCCTGTGATGGGCAGCCAGGTGCTGCAGGGGCCACAGGAGGGGCCCTTGGCCCAGCCGAGAGGGACCGAGGGGCTTCACAGAAGAGGCGAGACTTAAGCTAGTACGAGTGGGTCAAGCTACGAAGTGGTCGACACTTCTAGACTGAGGGAACGCAGCTTTAAGGCCTGGAGCAAGGGGAGGGGGGAGGCTGGCACTGCCGTGTCAGGGGCTCAGCGCCCACTGCCCACAGGACTCAAGGCTGGCTGGAGGCTACGAGAACGTGCCCACCGTGGACATCCACATGAAGCAGGTGGGCTTTGAGGACCAGTGGCTGCAGCTGCTGAGGACATACGTGGGGCCCATGACCGAGAGCCTGTTCCCAGGCTATCATACGAAGGTGAGCCTGCCCCCCGCCTCCTCCCCCTCCACACACCCCGGTCACGGCTGGAAGGCTCCACACGGCACTTTTTGGCCCCTGTAGCATTTGGGGCCCCACGGAAAGAGATGCTGCAGGACAGCAGCCTTGGGGGGAGCCTGCTTGGCCCCTGCAGCCCCTCCCCGTCCCTGGACAGGGGCTGTCACCTCCTTAGAAGGCCCTCTGGACCTCACGGCCATCCCTCCAGCCTCTTCTCTTGTGTCCCCACAGACGCGGGCAGTGATGAACTTTGTAGTCCGCTACCGGCCGGATGAGCAGCCCTCTCTGCGGCCGCATCACGACTCATCCACCTTCACCCTCAATGTTGCCCTCAACCACAAGGGCCTGGATTATGAGGTGAGCCCTCCCGCCCTCCACTTCAGGGGGCCCCTACACACATGCGCACACACTCTCACACTTCACCCGTGACCGTGTGTCCTGCCCCCTACCCCCCTACTCACCCCGCTCAGTTGCCCTCTGCCCCTTGCCTGCCCTCTTCACCGTCCCTGTTACTTGGTGGGTATTGTCTCCTGGACCCTTCTGGCTGGCTGCCTCCCCTTCCCCATGCATCTCCCCATCTGCCGATCCCCTAAGCACCCCCAACCCTGAATCCACCTCTCCCTTATCCCTCCGGCCGACCTGCCCCATGTCTGCTCACACTCCACTCCTGTTCCCTTCCCCACTCCCCAGGGAGGTGGCTGCCGCTTCCTGCGCTATGACTGCGTGGTCTCGTCACCGCGGAAGGGCTGGGGGCTCCTGCACCCTGGCCGGCTCACCCACTACCATGAGGGGCTGCCCACTACTCGGGGCACTCGCTACATCATGGTGTCCTTTGTTGACCCCTGACACTCAACCACTCTGCCAAACGCCCCTGCCAATGTGCCTTCTTGCACCCCCTCCCGGGAGGGTGTCAGTCCGGCTCCTCGCTTCCTGAGTGTCTGTTCGCTGTGCCTGGGACTGAATGTGTCTCCTCACCCCCCACCACACGGCCCTCTCAGGAAGCTCCTGGAGCCCCCTTGGCCCTCCCCTCAGCCCCCAAGGGTCCATGGGGAGAGGGCTTCTGGGGGTTCCCCACGGGATAAATTATTGTGTCTCAGCCTCCCTCTCAATAAAGGAGGATTTGTAACTCTTGAGTCCATTTATTGCGTTTCATCCACTTACGGACCCTGTATCCCCCATGCCCCCCGGGGTAGAGGGGAGACCTGGGGTTACGCCAAAGAAAAGGAGAAGACGGAAGGGTAGCAGCAGACTGTTTGAGCAGGGTGGGGACCTGGAAGCCGCCGGGGTCCCATTTCTCACTCCCGTTTATTGCCTGAGCTGGGGGAAGTGCCTAAGAAGGGCCAGACCAAAAGGAGGACTTCCCCGGTCGGGCTCGGAGGGAAGCCCACCCCCGCCCCATGCCACACGCTTCTCCCTGACTCTCCCATCACTTGGTGGCATGAAAGGGGGCAGGGGCGTGGCCCTGAGCGGGCTCCAGGGACAGTGCTGGGCCAGGACGGCCCCCTGGAGCTTGTGCTCCAATGAGGGAAGCCAGGCTGGAGCCTTCCTGCAGCTTCTTAGACCTGAGCTTTCAGTTAGGCAGGATCAGGAAAGGGGAAGGCCTGGAGGGTCATCCTAAGAAGGCTTCCTGGAAGAGGGGAATGTGCAACAGCCTTGAAAAAGAAGAGACCTCCTGGGAGCTGGTCTTGCCTCCAGCCTCCAGGGGACCATCAAGCCCTTCCCCATATCCCTCAGGGCGCCCTGGGGACAGCAGGCCATGCTCCTTTAGCTTGGTCTCTCCCATCCTTGCACCAGCCTTCCTTCCTGAATTTATCTCCCAACTGTTCCCTTGTAGAAGCCATTCATCTGTCCTGGGACGTTTCCTGCCTCTGACAGCTCACTTGCCATCCACAGCTAGAATCCCCTTCTTCCATCCTCCTGCCCAAACTCTGTGAAGCCTTCCTTCCTGGGGGGTGGGGCTGGTTGCATCACCTTTCCATGTGGACTGAGCATCTCTCTGAGGATCTCACCCCAGCCTCCACCACCCTCATCTGCACAGCCTGTGGATGGAAGCGGGCTGAGCAGGGACGGGAGAAAACGCCTCTTGGCAAGCTCCCCAGATAGGGAAGCTGCAGGAGAGTGAGGCAGGGGACGGGGACAGAAAGGGTGTGCCAGCCTGAGCAGTAGGGGCTGGGCCTTGGAAGCTGGCTTATCCTGTCTCCTGTGGGTCCAGCATTCATTTCCAGAGCATCTCCCATCACAAGGGTTGCAGCGATGAGCACAGTACCACTCTTCTTGTTGCCTCCAGCTGGGACGGGGGGGGGGGGGGGACCTTAATCAGAGAATCACTGTGACGGAGGGAAAGTATTTTAAGCTGGGAGAGCATGTGACAGAGGCTCCTGATGAGTGTGTTACAGATTTCCCTAAAAGAAGTGATGTCCCCTGACCCAGAAAAGGTGCCAGCTCCACAGGCCTCTGGTCAGTGTTGGGGAGGGCCGTGGGGGTGGTGAGGACTGCCCACAGCCCCCTGGGCTCTCTCTTAAGGGGTTCCCCACTCCTTAGCCTTTCCCGCAAAGGACTCCCCGGTGGAGCATCTCCCCACAGAGGCCGAAGCTGCTCCTTAGGGAATAAATCCTGCAGGTCGTCTCCTCCTCAAGGGCCAAACCTGGATGACCCAGGGGGAGCCCTGCCGTTAATGGTACACACCACGCCGGCAAGCACCCACTTTCCCAGACCTCTGCTAGCCCAGCTTGTTGGCCACACCCCTGGTCACTCCCGTTTGGTTTTACTGGTCATAGCCCTGCAGCTCAGGTAGTGGTTAATCCTTCCTGGCCGGGGCGCTCGAGGGCCCAGGGTGCAGGTCAGCAAAGGGGGCAGAAAAGGGGGTGGGGCCAGGGGTCAGGGCCTGTGGACTGGGCCAAAACAGGTGTCCTTAAGCATCCTAGCAGCTCCTGTGTGACTCCTGCTATGGAATGCCAACCTCCTCCAGCCTCCTCTACCGGGGCCTCCAAGGGTTTGGTGTCCTGCAATGGGTCTTCTCCTTCTTGGGGCTCGGTGAGTCCCTGAGCCCGCCGGACCCCTGCCCCTGGCGCTCAGCTTCCCCATGAGAGAGGGAGGCAGGGCTGGGATCTCCGGGTGGGGTCCTTGAAGGAGTGAGCAGGAAGTAGGTGGGTCAGAAGGGCCTGGAGCCATGGAAGCCGGAGTGGCAAAGTGAGAACCTGGCACTTAAATGTCTGAGTCCTGAGTTCCACCCTGCTTCGGCCCAGGTGTGCATGGCCACTTTGCTCCTTGCACTCCTAGGCCAGGCCTGTGTCCCAGCAGTCCTCTATGTGGTCTGGCTCTATGGAGACAGGGATGCGCCGTGGCCAGGAGGCCGCTGCTCTGCCTGGGTCCGCAACTGGGCAATCTGGAGACGTTTCTGTGACTCCCTCCCCATCTCCGTGAGGGCACCCAGGGCATCCAGGAACGGTGTGTGGGGTGGGAGCAGGGCTTCCGAAGAGACTCTTGGGACTGTCATCCCCCAAAATCCAATCTCACCCGCCGTGTGGGGGGTGCACCCTCTGTCCCCCGGCTGGTTAAACCACAGAGTCGGACCCCTCCAGCAGCAACCTCTTCGGCTTCCACCCTCACTGGCTTCTGGATGTCAGGGCCTTGGGCAACTTCTGCACTGGGCCCACGGGCTTCTCCCGCCCCCGGCAGCACCTGCTCATGCTGCCCTGTTGCTTCCACTTCCCTCCCTTCCAGGACTATACCATGTGTGGTGGTGAGGAGGGGTGGCCCGGCTCAGGACTCCCACTCTCCGCTGTCACCTCCCACCTGCCCTCCTCCAGTCTGGGGTCACCTGGTCCCAGCTCGACTTTCCCCATGCCCTCCTCCCTCTTCTCTTCAAGATCTGGGCATCAGGCCTCCCAGCCTCTACCCTCCCCCCACGTTTGGTGCCCTGGACAAGGCCAGAGCCTCCCATCTGTTGTCACGGCCAGCGGATGGGGAGGGGAGTGATGGCCAGGCCAGGCCGTTGTCCTGGCCATGAGAGGGCCCCTGGAGGCAAAACCCGGAGCGCTGAGCTTGCGGATCCAGAATCTGAAGGGTTTTGTCCAATTAGCGCTGGAACATCGATGAGAAGCGCCGGTGGCCAGACAGGGCACTCCCGGGCAGCCGTGGAGGCAGGAGCACGGCGCGCCCCAGGGCCCAGAGTCAGGTGCAGCCCTGCTCCCCAGGGCCTCCCTGGTACCTGTCTTCTCTTTCGGGGAGAACGAGCTCTTCCAGCAGCTGGCGAGCCCGCTAGGCTCGTGGGTGCCGAGGGCGCAGAAAGCTCTGCAGCCGCTGCTGAGCGTGGCCCTGCCGCTGTTCCACGGCCCCTGGGCCTCCTCCCCCTGCGGCGCGCCCATCCACGCCTTCGGTGAGCCCCGGCTTCTGCCCCATCTGCTCCCCGGCCCGCCGGCTCCGCGCGCCGGGCGGTGGAGGTCCCTGGTTGCGGTCTGAAATCCTGGTTGTCGGCCGCGCGTCGGCGACGCCAGCCTCGCCCCCCGGGCTGGCCTATGGCCGCTGCCCCAGCCCTGAGCTCTGGCCTGGACGATCGCCGCCGGAGGGAGGGAAGGGGTCCGGCGGGGGATCCCGAGGACCCCCTCTCGCCTCCCGTTCCGCCCACAGTGGGGACCCCGATCCCGGTGCCGCGAAGCCCACAGCCTGACCGGGCGCAGGCGGACGCGCTGCCTGAGCTCTCCGTGGAGCAGCTCCGATGGTTGTTCGCAGAGCGCAAGGCGCGCCACGGCGTTCCCGCCCACGGGCACCTGGTCCTCACGTAGGCGCCCCCGCCGCCCTGGCCGTCCCCGAGCCCCGCGAGGCCCTCGGGAGGAAGGGTGAAATTAAAGGTGGGAACAGCCCCGCGGTGTTTGTGTGTTTGCGTGTTTGTGCGCGGCGGGGGACGGCTGGGCGCGCTGCAGGGCCTGGCGGGGGCTCGGGAAGGTCTTGACACTCCCGGAGACCTGCCAACAGACGCGGAGCGTGCGGGCAGGGGCCTACGCGGCCGCACTGGAGATTAGACGGCCTCCGTTGGGCTTCTGGCCCCCGCCAGCAGCTGGGACCCAGTTGGTGCGCTCTCCCGATTCTTCTGAGTCCCTTCCCCCAGGTCAATTCGGTTACCACACCTCCCTTGCACACCCCTTCCCCGCCCAGGGGCGGGTCCAGACCCACCGAGCACGAAGTTCACAGATCAGTCTGAGAGGAAGCCTGGAAGCGTCTGGGGCTCCAGATCCAAGCATCTTGCCATCCACACCCCAGCACACACCCAATCCCAGGATGCCCCAAGGGCTTGGCCCCAAACCACCATTGTTCGTCCTCCGAGTCCTGGAGCCCTTCCTGACGAGGGGAGCTCTGGAGCGGGATCTCCACGCCCTCCGCCCTCCTCCACCATGAATACCCTGCAGAAGCAGTGGCTGGAAGCAGTGCGCACCTACCAACACGTATTCGTTTTGCTCTTTGTGGGTGAGAGGAGGGGAGAGGCATGGGTGCCTGGGGGCCGCAAGGGAAGAAGTGGGGGCTGGAACCCTACTTGCCTGGATGTCTGAGGGCAAAGGGAGGTGGAGAGGGCCAGAGGTCAGGCTGGGAGGCCGTGGGATGATCCCACCAGTGAGGCTGGAGGACAAGAGCTGTTGGCTAGAATGACTGAGTTTCCAAAGGGAATTCATTTTTCTTTCTCTTCTTTCGCCCAGTCCCTCTCTTTTCCCTTCTTGTCCTCTTCACGTCTCTCTGGTGGCTCTCTGTTCTCTATTTGGTAGGGCTCTTCCTGGGCTGGGACACACCCAGCCAAGGTGAGCCATGGAAGGAGGCCCTGCCGGAAGTGGGAGATGGCAATCTGGCGCCTCTGGGGGTTCCTCCATGCTTGTCTCTCTGCCCCAAGGTGGAAGGCCTTCCGAGTGGATGAGAAAGCAGACCTTTTGGAAACACCTAAGTGACTATTCTCCTATCAAGGAGACAGGTCACCCTCCAGAGGGACTCTGCTTCCTCCCTGTCCCCCACTTCCCCCACCTATTTGCCTCTCCCTGTGATGGAGCCTGAGCCCCTGCTGCCTAAGCTCAGGCCATGGGGCAGGGGCAGAGTGGTGTTCAAGAGGGGGTCCCCTGTGCCCTTGACCTCCTCCTAGGACCTTGAACTCTGAAATCTGTTGGGGGGGAGGTCAGTTCTTTTCGGCTGATGTCTTAGCTTCTATGCCTCCTCCCCTTTATCCTACCCAACACTCCGAAGCTGGTGAAAACAGTGGAGCTGCCCCCTAACCGGAACTACGTGCTGGGCGCTCACCCACATGGGATCATGTGCACCGGGATCTTCTGTAATTTCCTCACCGAGAGCAATGGCTTCTCCCAGCGGCTTCCTGGGCATCGGCCCTGGACAGCCACCCTGGACAGCCTCTTCCGCCTCCCAGTCTATCATGGCTACATCATGTCCCTTGGTGAGCCTTGAGCTGAGTGCGAGGAGGGGATCCCTGGCCAGAGTGCCACCCACTCACCCCCCAGGGCAGGCACCTGGCTTGAACATTGGCCAGGCTCACACTGGGCATCAGTGAGTAACTTGGAGCAAGTGCCCTGTGTCCTCAATGGGAGAAGCACTGCAGGGCACACTGACATGGGCACAGGGCGAGGGGGGTTGGAAGGAATGGGATGTGGGGCTCACTCTTCCTGTGCTAAAGGGTTGGGTGAGGGGCCAGGGAGCCACGGAGGAGGTGGTGACTGCTCCCCACCTCCTTGAGCCAGCAGGAATGTGTCCTGGGAACCACCAGGGCCTGGACTTCATTCTGTCCCAGCCCCAGCTGGGGCAGGCTGTGGTTATCATTGTCGGGGGTGCCCATGAGTGCCTGTCCATGGTCCCTGGGGAGCACCACCTCACTCTCCAGGAGCAGAAAGGCTTCTTGCACCTGGCACTGAGGCACGGGTGAGTGGGGTGTGGGTGCCTGTCCTGGGGCCGCTCCTCATGGTCAGAACATCACGGTGTGTCTGGGGGCCACCCTCTCAGTCCCTAGACATCAGGTCCCTGTAGGTGGGACTGTGTGTCCCCGGAGCCCGTGCACTGTGCCCTGCACCTGGACAGCACTCACATCAGCGCTTGAGTGCTTACCTGTGCCCAGTGTGCCCATCTCACCAGCTTCCTCCCCCAGAGAGAGGCAGGGCTGGAATTCAAACAGTAGGACCCCTGGGCTCAGAAGCCCTGGGGTCTGGGGTCGAATCCCTTTCTGCTGCTCTCTCAAAGGCAAGAGCCTGGACTTGTTTGTTTGCCTGTGACATAGGCACAAATATATAGATGAAGGCCCAGTTCACAAGTGTTTCTCGGAAATGTGAGTCCCTCCTTCCAGATCTTTCTTTGTTGCCATCTTCATTTGCTTCCAAAGGCCTTGGGGCAAGGCATCACAGGGTGTGGGGAGGAAGTGGCCGCCGTCTGAGGCTCCTGTCTTGGGGCACTCCGGGGACCGCTGGCCTGACCACCCTCTTCTCTTCTGCCTCCCCTTCCCAGGGCCGCCCTGGTGTCTGTATACTCCTTTGGGGAGAATGGTATCTTCAGTCTTAAGACTTTTGCCACAGGCTCCTGGCAGCATCTGTGCCAGATCACCTTCAAGAAGCTCCTGGGCTTTGCTCCCTCGTCTTCTGGGGCCGTGGTCTCTTCTCGGCCACCTCCTGGGGCCTGCTACCCTTTGCCGTGCCCATCACCACTGTGGGTGAGCGCCCCTCTCCAGGGAAGAAGGCTACCGCCCCCTGTGTGGGCAGCAGAGGCCTCTCGCCTCACCTGTGTCATCCTGTCCTGCAGTGGGCCTCCCCAGCGCCTCCACCCCAGTGAGGAGGAAGTTGACCACTATCACGCACTCTACATGAAGGCTCTGTGCAGCTGTTTGAGGAGCACAGGGCAAGCTGTGGTGTGGCACCTCTACTCACCTCACCTTCATCCAGCCTGGCCTTATGCCACCTCCCCCACGGAGCCCAGGAGCCCCTGATCCCGTGCACTTTGACCTCCACCTACTGCCACACTCTGCTCCTCCAATAAAAGCCAGTTCTCTCCCACCACTGCTTTGTACTACTTCCTAGAATCGGATGCTCGCAAGGCTCATTCTCTCACTCTGGGAGTGAGCATCCCCAGGAGAAATTTGCTCCCATCCTGATGTGCTGCAGAGTTGCTGCCATAGATGGGGTATCAGCACCCTGAATTCTCCTCCAAGACAGACTTAATTCTGCTGCGTGACCCTGTGTAAGCCTCTTCCCTTTGTTGGGCCCCTTCTCCTTCTGTCGATAAGAGCATCTGCTTAGCTGAGAGCTGTCAGGTGTCAGGACCGAGTTGGGGAGAGCGGCTGCACAGAGGGCTAGGCTTTACAGGGAGAGCAGAATTAAGTGGGTGGAGAAGATAGGGTGGATGGTGGAATACCGTGAGCCAAAGCTGAGCTTGGTCAAGGGTACCTGACCGCGTGGAGAGTGGAATGATCCCCAGGGGGAGAAATGATGGAGTTAGGTACACAGCTTAATTGTGCACCGCCTCTCCATCCTTTGTGTTTCCTTGGGGCTTGGATGAAGTGAGGATTTATTTTACCAGCATTAATTGCTACTGCAAGCCCAGCGTTAGACTCAACATTAACGCACTTGCTCAACAAGCAGAGGAAATTTGTGAAAATTGTTGTTGTGAAAATTAAAGGATTAAGATTAGAACGGAGATTGGCAAAATATGAGCCAATGAGAGTTTGCCGGCGTCATCCTCATGACAGGCATGGCATGGGTAAAATGAAGCAGTGAGACTAAACATCCAGGGGTCCTTAGGTAGTCATAGCATCCTCTGACTTTGGCGGTCCTATTTGCTGACAGTCTTTGTGTCTGTATCCAGGACTTCAACAAGAATAACTTGTTACCATGTAATTGCAATGCAACCATATTTGTCTCCCACTGTCCTATAAAATGTATTCAGTGGAAGAATTTTCCCTTGTCCCTGGTTGAAGATCGGGGCAATCCCATGATTTCTCTGGGTCGTCCCCAGGTAATAACTTCTACATTCATTTTAGGTTGGTACACAGAAATGTTTAGTTTGTGCAGTAATCAACGCTTCGATCTTCACCCAAGAACGGGAGTTTTCCCCTTTCCAGCAAGGGCTAATTGCAAGCGGCCTGCCTGCTTGGCAAAGAAGTGGCAGTTGGGGAAGGTGGAGTCGAAAGGGGTGGGGTGGCCCTCTTCCCCACCTCCTCTCCTAGCTGCTGTTGCTGAACCCCCTTGGGGTTGGGGAGTGGGGCAGAGGAGGGGAAAGGGGCCAAAAAGTGCTTCACTGCACTGTCATAAGATAGCCTTGTGTTCTCTGGGCCGCCAGACCTTTGAGGCTGAGGCCCCTTCCTCATGGATGCCCTCATGGGCTCTTTGAATTTTTTCCCTTAAGGTCCTTTGGCAGAGTCTGTGCTGTCTCTGCCTCTTCACCTGTCCCTGGTTTTCTGCTCATGCGCTCGACGTAGGTTTTCTCTATAGAAGTCCCATCACTCTTTGAGGCTGGAGTGGGGGCTGTTGACAAGAGGGATGGAAAAAAACAGCTCCAGGTTTGAGCACCCTCAGCCAAGATACCCTTGGAGTACAGGCTGGCCTCAATGTAGCTACTTTGCTACAAATGCAGCCAAAATCTGGCTGCTAGATTTCTTCCAAGGGCACATCCCCCAAATGCTGGGCACACACCATCTCTTTGAGTCTTGAAGAACTTTGTCACTGATCTTGTCAAGGGAAGCCTTGTCCTTCCGGAGCAGGGCTTGCAGTATGCTAAAAGTCCTCCCCAAAGCCCTTGTTTTGTGCTCGTCTCAGCCTATCAATACCCAATGTTGTGGTTGGATGGGCCCTTGTGGTTCTTATCATGACTGCAGGATGCCCTTCAGCCATAATCATTAGGAAACTTTGAAAAACTAAAGGTTTATTACTTATAGGAACTGAAAATTACACAGCACACCTAGAGTCACATAGTGAGGTCACAGGCAGGGAGAGAGAGAGAGCACATGGGTCTGAGGTTCTGCTTTATTCAGGTTGAGGGTGGGGGCTTAGGGTTTCATGGGCTCACTCTTTATTGGGGAATTTAAAACGTAGGAGTGGAAATTCAAAGCACAAGAAGAGAAAGAACCAATGGCCCAAATGGTCAGTTATAGAAATCAGCCAAGATCTCTAAAAACAAAGGAGCCTTAGTAGGGGGAGATGGCCTGGCTTTGTATCTAGTCGGTGTGGCTGGCAATGTGTTTATTTGAGATTGCCATCTTTGAAATGGATGCTTGGCATTCAAAGCTTAAGTTAGGCACTTGCATTACAAAAAGAAAACAAAAAAGCTGCCAGAGTTTACCCTGCAATCCACCCTGTGATGCTGAGGCATCAGAGACAATGGCGAAGATAGCTGATGTGCTGTAAGTCAGAGATAGGGCACGTTGTGATTGAGAAAGTACACATCTAAATAGGATTATAGTAGCATATCCTATAATAATTATACAGGCAGTAGTTTGAAATCCAGTCTATGGCCATTGTCCCAAACTTGAAAGGGCCCAACCATGAAAACAGGTCTTGGGCCTGGCCCTGGGAATCTGTTTAAGGATTTGGGTGATATTGTGAAAAAGTTCAACGTCTTGGACCATCTGATATAAGTAGGTTTGAACTTGTCCTGAGTTGGTAGATTGCTTTATATCTCATAGAACCAATTTTTAGTTCTGACAATAAGTCTGTTCAGTTAAAGGGTTTTGTCTCCTTTCAGTAGGTGGTGATGCAGGTGGGTTCCCCAAGTTAGGCCTACATGCTGCAAACATTGGCATCAGGTTATTTAATAAGAGGCATTTCTATGGAAACAAAAGAAAAATGAAGTTTAATGATTGGAGTAGATTATAATCCCCGTTTCTGAGTTCTGAAGGCAATCAGTCAAGATTTCTAGATGTTGAGCTCAAAGGATCTTCAGATGGAGTGTGGGCAGGCAGTAGCAATCTGATAAATTTTCCTTGTTTGCAGTTTAAATGTCTCTGGTGATCTCTCTGAGTAGCCCATATAGTAACAGGCATGAAGATTGTCCATATATGAGCTATTGTGGTGATTTCTCTGACGTTTATATCCAGATGTTCCACTTTAGTTTGCATGACCGCGGGAAAAGGGCAGTTTTAGTTCTCAATGATTCCAAGTCAGAAGGGTGGGAGAAAACTTGGAAATAATAGTTTAGAGAGTTGAAGCTAGATATTGGAGGAAACAAGAAGAATTTAGTATCCAGTCCAGTTTACAGGTAGAAAACAAAACCTCAAAGACAATTAACAGAACTAGAATCTAACATCCATAAGTGTGTATTGTAGTTTCTGCTGAAATATAATTTTTCTTTCTACAATCACCCCCATTTCTATCAAAAGTAATCATAGTAAGACTAATTTGTTTGCAAATTGTCTAGTTTAGTAAATTTGGCCTGATTTTTCCATAAGTACAGCAAGAATAGTGATTGACCATACAGGCTCTTTTAAGTCTGCTTTGCTGGAACTTTTCATAAGAAATCTCAGATTGAACTGTAAAAGCCTCTCAAGGCTAAGAAGCCAAGCCAAGGACTTTCCATCAGACACTTCCTGAAATGCCTATAGATTTGTGTGAATACCTCTCTTCTAGAGGTCCCCCAAATATCCTGATATTCCTGGGTCTGCCCAGAAGTGACCTTCTTTACTCACCTGGTAAGGTTGCCAGGAATCCTGCAAACAAGGTACCAGGATGATTTTTCCAAGGTCTTTTATTGGCTCCATAAAGTCAACCTTAGTTCCTTAAAGCTCTCTGGTCCTATCTGAGTTTATGTGCATCTCTCTCAAATATGACATTCTGGTCAAAGCCTTGCTAATGTAACCAAGGTTTCCAAATGTGTCCTGTTATAAGGACAGATTCTTATTGAACTTATGCAAATAACTATATTGCCATAAAAATAGGAATACTCATTGAGAGTTTTCAAATTCTGGAGGGATCAGATAGGGAGAAAAAGTAATTGTTTCATCTTTGTTCACAAAGGTATACTTTCCCAAACTTCTGGAAGTCATGGAGAGCTTAAGAGAAGAGGTTTCTTTAAATCTTGAAAAAACAAAACATGATAGAACCAGCAATGTTTCAAAGAAAAAGTCATAAAAATTATAATCATCCTCATCCGTTCATTCAGTCCCATGTTATGAATTCTTGTTCTGTTTGAATCCACTTTTTTCATTAGTTCTGGAAATTCTTACCCAGTTCAGCTTTATGATCTTAAAGTTATCGGGAAACTGTCCCCACCAGAGTCCTTTCCATGAATCTCCTTGAAGATGAAGCACTTTTGCAGGAACACTTTTGCAAAAGCATCAGAGTAAAACAATAACTGTACATGAAGAAAGATGAAAATGGCCATGGTTAAAGATCCAATGAGAGTTCATTATAATGCAATTGAAAAGGCAATTTGCTTATTTCTGTGATACACATTTCAAGGTAATAACTAGAATTATGACTGATAACATTACATATCAGATTTTAAGGAATTTCATATAATTTCTGGAAAATTTATACTAATAACATATATCCATACAAGGGTATCTGTAAAGAAGGTGTAGCATTATTTCTTATTTGACAATGCTTCCCATGCAATCTATCATATCAAATCAGCCTAATTAGTTTAATGTCTCTCTCTCTTTTTTTTTTAGAGGAATTTTAGCCCTGAGCTAACATCTGTGCCCATCTTCCTCTACTTTATATGTGGAACGCCTGCCACAGCATGGCTTGCCAAGCAGTGCCATGTCTGCACCCGGGATCCAAACTGGTGAACCCCAGGCCGCCAAAGCAGAACGTGCACACTTAACTTCTGTGCCAGCAGGCCAGCCCCCTAATGTCTCTCTTTTTATAAGGAGAGAGAACAAATCTTTTAAGATGTTCCAGGGGCCCTCTGGAAAATCCCAAAGTTACTTCCAGGTAAAAAAAGACTTCATTTAGAATTTTATTTGGGGAAGTTTGTCAAAAATATCAAAAGGTTTTGGACATTTAACTAAATAGGATCACAGATCATTATGAAACCAATTTAATTATTACTTAACTAAAGTGACAAAAGATTTTAAAGAAAATACAGAAAGTTACATATTTATGAACAAAAGTTCACTCTTTTGATATTAAGAAGACTCACTTTCCTTAAGTAATCAAAGACCTGATTAAAACAA